GGAGACAAGTGTGAAATCATGCGGCCAAGCACTCAGAGCATCCAGAGCTTACTGGGAGACAAGTGGGAGACAAGGGTGAAATCATGCGGCCAGGAACACAAGCCCGGTGACAAACCCAATATCATCCGGCCCGAGCATGCACCCCTTTAAAAGGAGTAAGAACCCCTCACAGGTAAACCTGTTTGGGAAAAATATCAGGTCAGGGTTGGTTTAATGCGGTTACATGTGTGTATATATAATATGTATACCACCTTATTAAGCCAATCCACAAATATTATACAATAATTAACTTATTGAAAGCTGTCATGGGTAATGCTCAGCCCTAAATGACATCCAATTTTCCTTTTGCGCTAGACAGAGATGTGTTTTCCTGTGTTGTTTCCCTTTTCCTTTCTTTGGGTGTTTCTATTTTTGTTCGATTAATTTAATATGTCTTAGTGTTATTTTATTGCGTTCCTCTGGCATCTTTTGGCACCTGGACGAAGCAGTCTTTCAAGAGGTGTCCAGGCTTCAAGATTGAGATGTCTAGTTCAACTCTTTGTCAACATTGTATTAAGCAATCATTCCCTCTTGTCCAATTGGATGAAAATGATGGGTGTTCACCAAACATGACAAGGTTTTAATTGATTTTAATGGTATATAAAGAACTGGTGGACATGTCGCAAGATTGCCAGGGAGTGGTCTGAAAAGCCCTTCAGACCCTTGAGGACCCAGTTGGCCCTCGTCAGGGGATGATCAATTGATGCCATTGCCAATGCTGATCTAATCTTGTTACTAGTAGCGATGCACTTAAGTGTTCACGGCGCGAAAGAGACGTTTCTCTACCTGTGACCCGATCCTCCGCACCAGACACGCCGGCTGAGCCGACAGAGACTCAGTGGACCGGCGCGCCCTGCGAACTGTGCGCTGGCCACGGCGAGCTCAATGGCGGGGCCGCCAGGGGGTTCGTGGCTGGCCGGGTTCACGGAATCTAAATGTTTCTCTGGGAAAAACATGTAATTGCAGTCTATATTTGCGTTCGTTCACTCGGCATCTCAGACACTTGTGGTTGTTCCATGGGATTATCCATTGTTGAAATCACGGTACTTCATCTTCGCCCGAATGCATCCCACAATCCTCGGCAATGTCCACAAAGCCACCACCAATTCCCAGAGGGCCGCAAAGGAAGTGTAAACAAGGACCTATATACTACCCTTGAACTTCCAGTTCTGTTTGCTTGCACGGCGTGACCTTGCCAGACACATATAGTTGCCCACAGTTCCCTCAGTGCCTTGGTGGTTTCGCGCTGTTCATGTTCCATCGATGATGACATATATTATGTTCATGCGTCATCGTTATCACACATTGTCACCGCTACGCATCATGGGGGGTGGGGTGGGGGGATGATTTGCTTCTGCTGGTTGTTTTAATATCATATGCAGAAGATCAGTGCATTATGCTATGTTTCTCTTGCTATCCAGAGACTGTCATCGCTGTCATTCGGTTGTCATCGTTGTTATTAGATTGTATTTGTGTCAATATTGTGAAGTTTATTTTCCGTTGGAAGAGGTTGCATGACAGAAGGGCTTAATGACGTTTGAAGGTTGATATCTGGAGGTCGAGGTTGTGATAAGCATGTTTGCGACTTGCGTAATGACTATTCAAGGTTAAATATGTGTCCGGAGGTGGTGGAGGTTGTGATAATTAAGTATGTTTGCAGCTGGCATGTTGCTGTTGCGGGAGTGACCAGACTTGATATACCTAGTAATCAATAGAAATGCTTTGATGCTAGGGTCTTGCTTTCTTGATTTGGTGCGGGTCTTGCGAGAGCGCACATACACATACCTGCAAAATATAGCTGGTAGACTTGTTAGTAGCGCAGTTATCTCTTTAAACCACCAACCACCACCCACCAACACCCACCACCCCCCACCACCCCCCACCACCACCCACCACCACCCACCACCACCCACCACCACCCA